TACCAGGGGTTCAGCATAGAAGTTACACTTGAGTGGAATGAAGAATTCTACAGGTTTTCAAGGGGTGGGGGATGGAAAGACAGCCCAGCATCTGACAAGATTTACAGCGTTCAGGAAACACTGAGATTCAGTGCCTAAGGAAATGGATATGTGTGTGTATGTGTGTGTATGGGTGGGTGGAGGGGGGGGTAGCAGTAGGCGAAGCCAGAGAAGACCAGGGCCAGATCAGGAGAGCCTTATGAGGAGCCACTGGTAAGCATCCAGAATAATGGAAGTAGTTTTGCACTTTATAAACACCCCTCTGGCTGATGGTGGATGGACTTGGAGGTAGGGAGGAGGAAGTCAGGACACTGCTGCTGTTGTCCAGGAGGGAGGCTAGAAGAAGGGTTTATTGGAAACTGTGATTTTTATCTTGGAAGAGGGAGTACTCAGTGCTTTTGCACTGCAAGTACTCTGATGAACAAAAGTTCATAAATTAAAAAATCTTTATTTAAGTTCAACTTAATTAACATATAGTATATTATTAGTTTCAGGGGTAGAGTGATGCATCAGTTGCATACAACACCCAGAGCTCATTACAGCCCCCCCTTAGTGCCCATCACCCAGTGTCCCCATCCCCGCCCCCCACCTCCCCTCCAGCAACCCTCAATTTGTTCCCTATAGTTGAGAGTCTCTTATGCTTTCATTTTTGAAAATTTTTAGTTGTTCATAAGTTCTTAAGCAACTACTAAATTTGCTCTTGATGTTATTAGAGCTAATTAGAGCAAAGTAGAAACCTTACTAGGGGCCAGATGTTGTAAGTGCTTTGAAAGTGTGAATTTGCATTATCCCCTAAACAAGCCTATGGAGGTTTTATTATTGTCATTCCCATTTCACAGATGGGAAAATTAAGGCACAAAGAGGCTAAGTAAATTGCCCACTGACACACAGCTAACAAGCGAGTGGCTCTGCTTTGTTTCACCAGGTGAGTTTAGTCAGTTGAAGAAACAGAACACAGGCTCTGTCAACTAAGAACACAATGAGATTATAAAGCAACCAGAAGCATTTGTTTGGGGTTTAGGAATTACACTCCAGGAGACAGAGCGGACAGGCATTGAAAGTGTGCTGGCATGGAGGGAGGGGTGCAGGTTTCTAAAGGCAAAATCCACAAGGTTACATAAGTTGTTTTGAAAGAACTATGATTAGTGCTGGCAGAGTTTGAATTGACCATCTAATACACGATTGGCTATTTGGCTAACAGGCATCCAAAGTAGAAGGATGTGTTCCAGGAGGTGGTTGGAGTTTGCAGTTGACCAAAGTCAAGTCTGTGGTGTTCTGAGAATTGAAATAGGAGAGGTGTATACACCCTGCTTCCTCAATATCCTCCCGACTCTGCTTTGAGTGACTCTCTTAGCCATGGTTACTCCATTCTGAATCTTCTTTCACAGCTGTAACTATTAACAAGTCCATGAGGAGAAAAAAAATCCCTTCTGACGGGGCAGCCTCAGGGGAAAGGACCAGTGATAGCCAGACTCTCACTTGGGACCAAAAGAGCCCCTGGTGGGTGAGACCTGTCAGAGGTCTTAGTTCTGAGCAAACACTGCACATCGAGTTTGAGAAGGTTCTGAGCTGATGTTGAGGTGGTAAAGAGCAAAGGGAGAAGTCAAGAGAGACAGAACAAGATAGGGTTGACCAGCTGGCTGTGGAGAAAGAAGAAGGCATCCTGGGTGGTGCCCTATCATCTGGCTCGGGGATGCTGGCACACAGGGGTGGTTTGATTTGCTATACTTAAAATCCAAAGCAAGAGATCCCTTATGACAACCCCCAACCACTGGGTTCCAGTCTCCCTGCCTCAAAAGGGATTCTCCTTATGTGACCTTGGTTATACAACTGGTGTGGGATAGACACCCTGCCAAAGTGTCCCTGGCAGGTCTTACCATAATGAATGTTGTTTATGTTCTGACCCCACTCCATCTTCAGCTCTACTTCTTGTCTTCCCCAACCACACACTGGTGTTCGAACCATCCACCTCCACCTGAGGTCTTTGTGCCTTTGGTTGTGCTACAACTTCTTTCTGCTTTACAAACTCCCAGTCATATTTAAAGAGCCTGTTTACTTTCTGAATCCCCCAGAAACCTTTCTGCCCCATCTCAGGCAGAATTATTTGCTCCTTCCTCTGCTGTCTCCCTAGATTTTGCAAATGTCTCCTCTGCTAATCTAAGAGGAGGAATTCTTTACTTTTCATCTCAATATTTGCCGAGTTTATAATAAGCACTCAGTAAACATTGGAGACATGAGCAAACAAATGAATGTGTGAAATGTGTTAATTAGTCCTTGTCTTCAGGGTTTCATTTTGCTACCTGAAAATAGCAAAGTGTTAGCAGAGCCATGGAATGAAGATGTCTAGCCCTTGGCTCTTTGTCTGGAATCCCTCCACCACCCCTTACCAGCTGTCTGGGGGAATCACCTATCCTTTGGACCTGAGTGTGTTTTCTCCACCATAAATCCAGGCGGATAATGCCCACCTAGGGGCAACATCATTGTGAAGTTTCAGCGGGCAAATGCGTGCGTGCTGTGCGTTTGGTACCATGCCTCCATATTTAGTGTCTGTCAGGAAGTGGTAGCTGGTGGTGGTGGTGACAGAGAGTTAGTTTGTTGCATAATTTCCTTCTGTGAAGGGGTTATCTCTTGAAAGAACTGTTGTTGTGAGTTGAAGTTTATTTCTCAAAAAGATATGTTGAAGCCCTTACCCTTCGAGTGGGTGATTGTGACCTTATTTGGAAATAGGGTCTCGGCAGATGTTATCAAATTAAGATGAGGTTATGCTCCATTAGGGTGGGCCCTAATCCAATAATTGGTGTCCTTATGAGAAAAGTGGATTTGGTTTCTTTTGTTTCTTCAGCTTTATTGAGGTGTAAGTGACAAATAAAATTGTATGTATTTAAAATATATAATATGGTGTTTTGACATGTTATACTTTGTAAAATATTTACCACAACCCAGTTAATTAACACATCTATCACCTCACAGAGTTACTTTGTGTGTGTGTGCGCGTGTGTGTGCGCGTGTGTGTGTGTGTGTAGTGAGGACACTTAAGTTCTACTCTTAGCAAATTTCAAGTATACGACACAGTATTATTAACTAGAGTCACCATGCTGTCCATTAGATCTCCAGAGCTTATTCATCTTATAGTTGAAGTCTTGAACCCCTTGACAACATCTCTCCATCTCCCCCAGCACCTCAGTGCCTAGTAACCACCATTCTACTCTCTCTTTCTGTGAATTCAACCTCCCCCCCACCCCAAAGTTCATATATAAGTGAGGTCACACAGTATTTAACTTTCTCTGTCTGGCTAATTTCACTTAGCATGATGCTCTCAAGGTTTATCCATGTTGTTGCAAATGGAAAGATTTCCTTCTTTCTCACTGCTGAATAATATTTCACTGTGTGTGTATATGTACAGATACATACATGTATACATTGCATATACACATACATACATATATTACATTTTTATGCCTTTATCCATGGATGGAATTTTAGGTTGTTTTCAAATCTTGGCTTTTTGTGAATATAGTGTAATGAACATGGCAGTACAGATATCTCTTCAAGATACTGATTTTGTTTCTTTCAGCTATATATCCTGGGATTGCTGGGTCATCTGGTAGGTCCATTTTTAATTTTTTGAGGAACCTCTGTTCTGTGTTCCATAATGGCTGTACCAATTTACATGCCCCCCAACAGTGCACAAGGGTTCTCTTTTCTCTACATCCTTACCAACACTTACCTGTTGTCTTTTTGATAAAAGCCATTCTCGTAGGTATGAGGGGATGTCTCATTGTGGTTTTGAGTTGAATTTCCCTGATGGCTAGTGATATTTTCAGGTATCTTGTGGCCATTTGTATGTCTTCTTTGGAAAACTGTCTACTCAGGTCCTTTGTCCATTTTTTAAATTGGATTACTTGTTTGCCCCCCCCTTTTTTTTGCTATTGACTTTATAGAAGTTCCTTATGTGCTTTGAATATTAACCCCTTATCAGATATATGGTTTGCAAATATCTTCCCCCATTCCATAAATGGTTTCCTGTGCTGTGCAGAGCTTTTTAGTTTCATATAGTCTCATGTATTTATTTTTCTTTTGTTGCTTGTGCAGCAACCAAAGACTCAGTGACTTGGTGTTTGTGGGAAGTGCCAGGCACCGCACGGCCTGTGGGTATGACATAAGGTGCAGTCTGTGCCCAAATATAAATGGGAGCATCTCCCAGTGCTCTAAGGGCAGACATTCATGCAGGTGGATTGAAACAGACTCAGAAACACCTGTGCATCCCTCAGAAAGAGGGAGAAAGATGCATCTTGCTAAGAGCAGCAACTTTTAGAATGTGCATGAAATCAACACTCTCATATCCAGCCTGGACAAATACAGCACCGCATGTGTTTCTCACTGTGGAGATAGTCTTTATTGGACTTTTATCACCTTTCAATGAAAGAGTGGTTCCCATCAGCACTATGTAATTATGAACTTTACAGATACACTTTATCTGGCAGTGAAATTTCTTTAATAATGAAAGTTGACTATAAGGAAAGTTTGTGGTGGGAGAGGGTACGAAGTAGAAGCCTGGCTAAATGTAAGCAGATTCCTATCAAGAAAGAAAAATGTTACCAGCACTCCGTTAAAGCACCAATACAAACCTACTGTTTTGCTTGTTCTCAGGCTAGACATTCATACAAGAGATGCGGGTTTTTGGCCTTTTCTTCTCAGGGGTCCAATAAACATTCTTGTGTATCTAACCATCCTGGCAAGACAAAACCAGGGGGAAATGAAAGCAAAGCTCCTAATTGTTTTCAAAGTAGGTTCTGGGAGAGGAGCAGAAGCCCTGTTTTCCAGAAGGTGGAGAGACCTGACAGCTTCTGATGCTATAGTAACAGGGAGGCCTGGTGGGCGGCGTGGCTTTAGCCCGTGGTGTCTGGGCAGCTGATGTAACTGTGGTCCCCTTGGGCTCTCTCTCTCTGGTCAGGACTGCCCTATTTCTGACCATCTGGCAGGACCGTGGTCACTGGGATTGGGTATTCCAATGCATTGCAGTCATCCGAGAGGAACACCAAATCCTGAAAAAGATGTGCAATAAGCAAGAATGTTACTGAATGTCACCCCACAACCCAGGCACAACTAGAGGACTCCTGGTTATCTTCAAAGACTGTTCAGTTCTTTCCTTTTGTGTGAAAACTTTCCATTCCTTATTCTCCTAAGGAGAACTGGCCCCATCTTCATGTTCCTGTAGAACATGATATAATACTGCATTATAAATATAAATAATACCGTATCATAATTGAATCTTCTTCCTGTCTGCCCTCTGCAGACCAAGGGGAGAGGGAGTGAGGAGGGCAATGGGTGTGGGGAGGAAATCTGTAAGAAACCTTAGATGCATGAACAAATAAATTAAACTCAATAGCTAATTATTTATCCTGATGACTTACTCTGGGCCAGGCCTGGTGCTAGGAATTCTATGTATGGTCACTCTGCTAGGGTTCTTAGGATCAAGGGGCTTACTGCAACAGCCCCTCCTCACACACATGGTCAGGGTGTACTTATTACCCTTCCAACGATGGCGTGAGGTGGGCATAATTACGTCTCCAGTTCACAAAGGAGGGAACTGTGGCTCAGAGAGGTGACGAGTTGCTCCCATCAGGGAAGCAGGAAGACAGGAGCTCAGGTCTGTCTGATGCTGAAGCCTGTGCCCTTGGGGTCCCATGACTTTGCTTTCTTTGGTAGTGCTGATTTTCTGCATTTTTCTGTCTCCTTCCCCTCTTCTCCCGGAAGCCTCCTATCACAGAGCATCTGAAGCCCTTCTTCTAGAAAGTCTCCTCTGACCCTGGCGCTCTGGAGCTCCCTGAATTCATGGCCCTCTCCCCCCAAATCTCTACTCCATTTGGCTCCTAGCCGAGTCTGTCTTATATGGTTAGCATGTGGTCCTGGATGTTGTCCCCACACCAGTGTGAGCTCATGGAAGGGAGGGCCTAGGGCTTTGTGAACTGGAAGCACCCCAAAATGTTTCTCTTCCTCCTCCTCCTCTCCCCCCACCCCCAGACTTCCTCTTCTAAAAGCCCTGAGCATCTTGGCGGATAACAAGCAGAAAAGATATTTTCAGTAGTGTCACTTACTCTCCTGCAGAACGAGTTCATGATGGTGTACAGTTTCCGCACTTTGTCCTTCAAGGCATCCACCTGGGCCACCTTCCAGCACTGGGACGATGCCACGAAGTCCTGCAGCTTGGCCAACACACAGTAATTCTGGGAGTGGACAGCAGGGAGGGCATCGTGGGGGAGGTCAGTAGCCAGAGGGACAGGAGTTGGGGACTCCTGTATCCTTCTGCATGGGGTCTCTCCCCACCCGCTGCCTCCCCAGACAGGAAGACCATCTTACGTGTATATCCAGGTAGAGCGTGGGCAGGTATCTCACACACGGCTCCTGCAGAAAGGAAGATGGGTTACGATGATGCCCACAGGGATGCACCCTCAGTTGGTCACAGAAGGCTTTCTGCCACCCTCCAACAGCCAGACAGCACCAGGGCCTTCCTTGATCTGATTTGCTCACACACACACACACACACACACACACACACACACACACACGGATTTGAATACCTATGCTTAGTCGGAAAGCTGAAATACTCTCCCCCAGAATGTTATAGCAGCAGTTACCTCTAGGTGGTAGAATGGCAAGTAATATTATTTTCTTCTTTGTCCTTTGTGCATTTTCCAACTGGTCTATAAAGCATGGTGGTCTCCCCCTTATATGTAGGTTATATAGTCCAGGGCCCCAGTGGATGCACGAAACCATAAATTGTACTGAACCCTATATATAGTATGTTTGTTCCTATACATACATACAAACCTAGATAAAGTTTAATTTATAAATGAGGCACAGTAAGAGATTAACGACAATTACTACTAATCAACTAGAACAATTATAACAACGTACTATCATAAAAGTTAAGTGAATGTGACCTCTCTCCCTCAAAATCTCTTCCTGTACTGTATTCACCCTTCTTGTAATGATTTGAGATGATAAAGTGCCCACGTGAGGAGATGAATGACGTAGGCATGTGATGTAGGGTTAGGCTACCACTGACCTTCTGACCACGTCAGAAGGGGGCTCATCTGCTTCCGGGTCACTGTGGACCGCGGGTATGGGGGGCCTACTATGTATGCCTTTTATAATTAGGAAAAACATACACATTATTTAAGTTTTAAAAGAAAAGAAAAGGTGTTAGGGTATCATAACCCCACATCTGAGAAACATTACATTTCGTTTAAAGCGTTTACAAGGGCTGAAGAGACACTTTTAGACACTTTTAAATTTTATCAAAGCTTTTTTTTAAGTGGGGGAGCGGCAGAGGGAGAGACTGAATCTTTTTTTTTTTTTTTTTGAGACAGAGAGAATGAGAGAGAGAGAGAGAGAGAGCACATGAGAGGGGGGAGGGTCAGAGGGAGAAGCAGACTCTCTGCCGAGCAGGGAGCCCGATGCCGGGACTCGATCCAGGGACTCCTGGATCATGACCTGAGCCGAAGGCAGTCGCTTAACCAACTGAGCCACCCAGGCACCCGAGAGACTGAATCTTAAGCAGATTCCCAGCTGAGCTCAGAGCCCGACGCGGGGCTCGATCTCATGCCCCTGAGATCATGACCTGAGCTGAAATCAAGAGTCGTATGCTCAACCGACTGAGCCCCCCTCCCCAGGCACCCCAAATTGTATCAAAGCTTCTAATGAAGTTTAATTTGTTTGTTTCTATCCTGGATAAGCAGCCAGTGGAGCCTGGGTTCTGGTTCTGGGCAACACCTCCAGAACCTGCTTCCCTGAGCCGTGGGTCTGCTTGTGAAAAGAGCAGCGCTTACAGTGCTCACATTTCTGGGGTGTCCCCTGCCCAGCACTGTGCTTGCCACGTCTCATTCACGCCTTCACCCTTGCGGCTCCTGAGCTGGTGGTGGGCACTGGACCAGCCCTTTCACAGCTCAGCACGCAGAGATTCAGGGGCTAAGCGGTCTGCCCAGGGTAAACAGCAGTAAGGGGAGGGCATGTCCTGGGCAGGGGTCCCCCTTAGCGCTCACTTACAATCACCAGGCTTCCGAAGAGAATAACCTTAATTCTGTGTTCCTCCTTAACTCCGGAGTTCCAGGCTCCTCGGCAAGGTTTTGTTTTTTCCTTTTTTTTTTCTTTTACATTTTACAACAGATCCTCTGGTTGTTGCTGGCAAGTTACCAACAAAGACAAGGCATTGTGATGTCTCTGATAGATTTTCCTTGTATTTAAAAAAAGATGCAAACCACTGTCATTCGTACTTAGTAGGATGGGAATAAAATGCAAACCCTTGAGATTAACATTGGCCAGAAAAGAAAAACAGTGTATTGTTTTGCTTTTTTTTTCCCCCTGGTCCAAAGGCAAGTTTAGGAGAACTGGGTCTGAATTGAACCTCCTGGTCTGCGGAGGGCAGTGGGAGGGGACTCACCGAGGGCTTCACGGCCTGCAGGCTCTGGAAGTCACCAGTGACCTCCCGGCTCAGGCTCAGCATCCTGGAGTAGCAGGTCGGGGGAGCCGGCTGCGAGGAGGGGGGCCAGGCCAGAAGCAGCAGCAAGGCGAGCAGCCTGGGCATCATGGTACAGAGGCAGGCTCACTGCGTCCTGTGGCCGATGGCAGGCGCCCCTTTAATAAAGCAGCAGCTTGGGGGTGGTCCTCCACGCCTCCTCCGCTTCCTGTGGGGCCCAGCCAAGGCCATCCAGCACGCCCACCTGGCCCTGGACACTGGATCTTTTCAGACCTGAAGTCCCCCCCACCTCCTGCCCCCGAGTGAGAGGAGGGGCTGCTTGGGGATGTGTGGGACACCTGGAAGGGACGCGCGGGCCCTTCGTCTCCCACACTGCCAATAGAAGTTTCTCTCCGGGCAGGGGCTTTCCAGAAATGGTAGGACTGGGTGATGAGGGGGCGGGGGACAAGGATGGATGAGGGGTGGACAGTCAGCCTCTGCAGTTAGAATGGGGATCCTGTTGTAAACCAGAACAGAAGTGGGGGAGGCAAAGGGGCTAGAAGTGAAGGACTGAGCACCAGGGATCCAGGGCTTGGGGTGAGGCAGCCTGGTGTCAGCGTCCACCCACCACTCACCACCCAGCAGGAGCTTGGGCAGTCATTTTCCCTTTGAGCAGCCGTGTCTCTGCATCTGGAAGTGGGGCTCATGCTGGCGCATGTGGTTGGCAGGGGATGTGTGAGCACCCCCCACCCCAAAGCCAGGCCACTTCAAGCCCCCGGCACAGGCCCCAGTACAAGATAGATGCTCAGGAAGCGTTGGTTCTCCAAATGTGCGGCTCTTTTAGTGACTAAGCTCTGCAGGCAGGGCTCCGTATGGACAACCAGTTAAAAATAAGCTCTCTCCTGAGATGCTCAGTGCAGCGCAGGGTTGCCCACTTCCGGTGATGCCCTTGGGCAGGTTTCTTGGCTCTTTCCTCCCTCTCGTTATATGTGCAATGGGGATGATAAAAGCACCTAGCTCAGAGGCCCGTAGTGAGGAACAAAAGACGCTGAGCTAATGTCAGAATCTCCATTCCCACATGTGACCTTGTGACGCAGCTACCCCAGAAACAGTCCCATTTTCCAGGTGGGAAAATGGAGGCTCAGAGAGTTCCAGCAACTTGTCCAAGGTCACAAAGCTGGAGGTGAATGGGTCCAGATGAGACTTTGTGCCCCATCCTCATTCATCCTTCTATCCCCCTGTGAGGAGTGAGAGCCTCAGAGTCAGAGATGAGTTGGGGTCCCTGGGCTGCCCAAGCAAGACTAAGGAACCATCAAGGACAAGGAGCTGTCAGAGAGAGGAAGAGCATCACTTGGCACCACTTCTGTGACAGTCGTCCCAGCGGTTGTCACACACGCCGTGAGCCTCCATCGGGTGAGTGGGGTTATTCCCATTTCCCAGACGAGGAAGCAGAAAGTCTCAGGGGACATGAAACTGGTCGAGATCACAAGGTTAATGAGGAACAGAGATCTGGGCCTGTGTCTGTCTGTCTGTCTCCAACCTCTCTGGCTGTGAGGGAGGGTAGGAAGGCCGTGGTGTCCAGCTCCAGACTCCCCCTGCTGTGTCTGCCCTGAGAAATCCCATCCTGATCTGGTGCCCATGAAGCCCCTGTCCATAAACAGAGTAGCGTCACTCTGGTCCCTTCCAGGCCTGAGGTTTTATTTACCTAGCTTTCTGGTGTTAAAGCCCTGCGCAGGGATCCCAGCCATGCCCCCCGTCTTTGGCAGGTGAACGTGTGTTCTCTCAACACCTTTACTGAGATGACCTGGGGACAGTCTCTGGGGCACCCTCTTGGACAGGGCAGGACTATGTGTGTTTGGAGGGGGGGAAGCGGCCAACAGAGAGGTGATTTTCTTCTGGATGAAGGAGTCTCCTCATACCCTCCATGGAGGTGCCTAGGGCATGGGCCTCCCTGGCAGACAAGCCAGCCCAGCCAGGGATGCCAGGCCAGCTTTGAAATGCTTGGGGCTTCTGGATGGGTTCATCGAACGAGGTTCCAATTCAGGACAGGGAGGAAAAACAAGCCCATGCACCAAAACAAGTCCTTGGACCGTTCAGATTGAGGGGATGTTGCCGGAAAACAGGAGTTGTCTGGGTGTTTGAAGTTGAGATAAACGTGTTGCTGGGAGAGCCAGCCTCGTCTCACTCGGGACACTGTGTGTGGCCGTTGATGGAGCTTCTTGGGCAAATCAGAGGCTTCCATTGCACCCCAAGCCCCAGGCACTGAGCGGACTGGACCTCATTTCCCCCCCTTACCACTCTTTTCTCATTTCTGTTCAGCAGTCTGCAGCCAGCTGGGCAGAGCAGATCCGTAAGGAAGGTTTTGCCAAGTTAACCTGATGGTTGTTCATCCTGTTACTCAGAGCGAGACACAAGCCCGGGAAGAAGGCACAGAGCGCAGCTGAATCAGCCCCACCCCGGCTGCCAGAGACCCCCCCGCCCTGGCTGCGGGCAGACCTCCGGAACCCACATGTGTGTTCTGCTCACCAAGTCCTTTGCTGCTCCCTGCTCTGCACCCCCGGCCCCAGCCCCTTCCACGGCTCCTTCAGCATCAGGCTGCTCCGTCTGGAAGGTGACTGTTAAAAATACAGGCAGGAATTCCCCGACAGATTAAAGTCTTTGTCTTCCTGCAAAGGTTTCTCCCACACCCCCCTTACTTTCTTAGAGCATGAGCCCCATGTTGGTACCTCGTTATGCCAGGAAAGCCGAACAGCCAGAGCTAATGAGCAGATGACTCTCAGCAGATGCCCGTCATTTTCTTTGAATGGATTCTTTGTTGATTCACTGGACACATAGTATTTTTTTAAAGATTTTATTTATTTATTTGGGAGAGAGAGAGAGAGCATGGGGAGGGGGAGTAGCAGAGGGAGAAGCAGACTCCCTGCTCAGCAGGGAGCCCGACTCGAAGCTGGATCTCAGGACCCTGGGATCATGACCTGAGCCGAAGACAGATGCTTAACTGACTGAACCACCCAGGCGCCCCTGGACACGCAGGATTTAATGAGAGTCTGCAGTGGACAGGCCTGAGATGGACGGGACGGACAGGACGGGGAGTGACGGAGCTGCTGTCCTCGTGGAGGAGAGGAAAGAGGCCCATTAAGTCCCCAGAGCACACGGGGTGATGGTGGGACAGCCGACTTCAGGAACGGCCTTGAGGAGGCTCCATCTGCCAGGTGAGAGACGCTGTGGGGAAGTGGGATGGGTGTGGAGGTGGGGGCGGGTGTGGTGCTTGAGCGAGAGAGAATTTGGAAGATCCTGTTCTGCTGGCTTTGAAAACCATGGAAGCGTCCACAGCCAAGGAACACAGGAAGCCTCCAGAGGCTGGAAAAGGCAAGGGGAAAGGTTTTCCCTTAGATCTTCCGGAAAGGAACATAGCCCTGCCCAGACCTTGATTTTAGCCTATTGAGACCCAGGGTGGACTTCTGACCTCCAGAACTCTGAGATAGACGGTGTTGTTTTAAGCCACTCAGTTTGTGGTGATTTACTACGCAGCCATAGGAAATTACCACACTATCTCTCTGGGGTTCAGAATAACAGAGATTAAGGTGGGAGGAGCTTAGAAATGATCTACATCAACCTGCCTTGTGCTTGAGCTTCCTTCCCTGTCTCCCCGTCAAGTGCGCATCCAGAGTCGGCTTGCATACCTCCATGTATGGGGAACTCATTGCCTGCTGGAGCCACCCTCCAGGCTCAGGGTGGCTCTGGCTAATGCAAATTCTTCCCAAGATGAAGGTGAATTGTGATGACTCCCTGGTGCTGCCATCCTTAGCTTAAAACTCTGGTACCTTCTTTCCCAGAACAGCCCTGTAGACCCTAAGGCCACCCTCATACCTCAGTCTGTCCCCAAGCACTCATCACTGCCCGTCCAGACAGATTCAGCTCTCTTTCAGAGCAAACATCCATCCCCATGTCTTGGACCCTTTTCCGTGGAAGTGGCTTCGAGATTTTTTCCCACAGTCGTATCATGATTAATGTCTCACTGCTTGGAGTCCTTTCTCCTCCCAGGAAGCATCTCTAAAACAGAAATCCACTCTTGCCAGCCCCCTCTTTCAAGTTTTTCCCTGGCTCCCCGAGGACTGGAAGACTGTCTGAGGTCTCCAACCATCCCCTACCAGTCCTTTCCTGGTGATGATGGTGATGCGATGATGATACCTAACTCTGTTCCAAGACCAGGGCAGGTGTTAATGCAGTTATTCTATCATTATCCCTTGGGGGCACCAAGGCCCAGAGAAGTTAAGGGACTTGCTCCAAATCACACAGTATTAAGGGTCACTAGGGCTCATCGTCATCATACCCAAGTGGCCGTCCCCTTTCAAATATGCCATTCCCTCTTCTTGGAGCTCCTTTCCCTCACCTCGCTTCCCCGGTTTGCTGCTTCTCTCACCCTTCCAGACAGAGCAGAAACGTCACTTTCTCCAGGAAGCCTGACTTGACACGCAGAGGCTGGATTGGGTCCTTGCTGCCTGCGCAGGCTCGCATGGGCCCTGTACTCTCCTCTACTCTACCAGGCATTGTCCACTCTGGCTGCCATCTGCTTGCTTACCCATTCCCCATGGGCAGAGCAAGTGTCCTCTCTGCGTCTTTGTGTCCAGAGCTTGGGGCCAACACAGAGCATGTGTTCAATAAACATCTTCCTCTGAGTGGCAGTGACCACCCCTTTATTTACCCTGGTGTGTGACAATGTGTTTCACACTATCTGGGACCCAGACTGGAACATAACCCTTCTTGGGAGGTTTGGTCAGAATGAGGCTGTCACTTCCTTGTTTTGGGTTCCTCTTGTGTCAGTCAGGACTGCAGGCTGCAAGTTACAGAAAACATAGCTTGAGATGCCAAAGGCTGAATTTATGGAAAGTGCAACTGGAAAGTGCAGAGGTAATGGGGTTCAGGCATGGTTTGATCTAGGAACTCAATGAATTCATTAAGAAATCATCTTTTCCTCTCTCCCTATTCCGTACTGTGATGGTCTTTTGATGTGTCAACTCTTTTAGGCTACAGTTCCCAGTTATTCAGTCAAACACAGATCCAGGTGTTACTGTGAAGGTATTTGTAGGTGTGATTAAAGTCCATAATCAGTGGACTTTAAGGATAGGAGA